CTCTTTCCCTGTTCCGCCCTCCTGTGGAATCTCCTCCACCATTCCTGTCCGTCTCAGCCCCCCTTCTCTTCCTTACTTTTCCTTTCTGATTTCTGCCATTCCTCACAGAGTCTGACTTTGCTTGCATATGCTTTGGAACACCCATGGCATAAGTGACCCTGCCCTCCACAGAGTGCATTTTAGGGATTCTAGGCATTCTGCTACTCTGTGCTCCATCCCTTGACACTAGAAACACATCCTTACGGGCCATTTTGCATATTTTCCTTTCCACATTTGCTGCATTTTTTGGTTGCTGAAATTAACTTATGAGGCCCTGGTGTGCTCCCACCTGGACTACAGATGGGAGGTACATCACCCCACTCAGGTACCTCTCGTCCACTTTTAATACTACATGCACCCACCATGCCCCCATCCAAATACCATATTTGTCACTTACTTTGTCCACCCACATTACCTTGTGGCAGTACATTTCCATCCACCTTCTTATGTTATCCTCCTGTATCAAATCCAAGTACATTCTAACTATAATCACCCTCTCTCTTGATATTTCACCTGCTGTAAATCTGATTCCTCTTAAATCTTCACTCCCACTTTCCTCTGCATATTTCTTCCAAAAGTTCCCATACCCTTCTCTGCTCCAAAATGTGAAATCCCACACCTTCCAGTTTTGGTGTGCAGTCAGGATGTGTAGGTATTCCACCTGCAGTAGTTCTTCCAAAAAGTCACATCTGCTCATCTCCAATCTTGTCTCTGTCTTGTTGCTGACTACTGTCGCTTTTATCAGAAGCCTTCAATCATTACTGAAGTCCCTTGTTTTCCGTGTCTTCTTGCCATGCCGGGTCTTCAGTGCCGTGCCACTTCTGGTGAACATTCCATCATCCCTCTGCCCTTTTCTGTCTCTTGCTCAAAGTGCCTTTACTTGCTGTACATGTTCCGTCTCCCATTTACTTCTCTCCTGTCATCCCTCTGTGATCACTTTTGTCTCCTCTGCTGCAGCTGTCATTGCTGCTGTCAATGTTGCTGCCATCTTCACCTTTTGTTTCCGTCTCTCCACCTTTGTCCATTTGCCATCTGTCTCTGATGCTTCTTTTCCATTTTTCGTTCCTTTTTCTTTTTCCCTGCTGCTTGTCTCTGCTGCCATTGTTTGAGCTTTGGTTCTTCTCTGGCCCTCCTTATACCACTGATGCTCTGTTGACTACTTTCTCTGCCTTTGAGGCATTGATCAGTCTTTCCATGCTGATGGGAACCTACCATAAGGACAGGTCAGTGCAACGCATCTGAATAAGATGAATGGTGATGCCCATCCCCCTCAGCACCGACTCTTTCAAATCATGGTGAGCCACTCTGTTGAATGTATTTCAACTTCTCCATTTCCAGTGATTCCTGTTTCTTTACCAGCCTTAAATTTCTGGCAAACATCACCAAAGGGGGCCCAAAGCAGTTTACCACAAATCTCTCTACCACCTCCTCTCTCAGGCTATCACATAGGATTAGTCTAGAGCCAGATCAGGTTGTCCCGTGCCTCATCTACATCTAAATTTTTGGAGAATTACAGGACTTGTGACAAGAACACCCAGTTCTAGTCATGAGTAGGGGTCTAATTAGCACATGTATCCTTTGTTGGGGGGGTGGGGTTGGAATACACACATATACTGAGCAATGCTGAGCTGTGCGATTGCCATGGCTAGAAACGCTGTTGACTCTGGGGCCCAGTCCAATTAACTGTATGGTAAATCATGAGCCTTTTTGCCTAATTTGTACTATATATATATATATATATATA